GTTCTCTCCCAAATTTGAAATATGCAGACAGTTCTCCCCCAATTTATTTCTATAAGATCATTTTAGTTTTTACTTCAGCTAATAATATTTCTTAATGAAGATTATTGAAAAGAATGTGTTTGATACATGGTTATGTTTTATATTATGTTTTATGTTGATCAGCTGAAAAGTGCCTGTACATTTTAAACACCTTTTTCCAGGTGTTTTAATCCTATCAACACCTTCATTGTGAGAGATGAGGATTATTTGACAGTGATTGATATACACCTGTAATTATAATTCATCAACACCTTTTCACAGCTATTTTAATCTAATCAACACCTTGGTTCTTGAGTAATGAATTAACAAACACTTCGATTATTTCTGACAGCAAACTTAACATGCATGTGACAGTGTATTGAACTCCTTTCTTCATTTTACAAAAGTATGAAATTTAGCAATTACAATCCATTTACATTTTTTTCTTATAAATTTGATTCTTATTTATGAAAAAAACAAACAAGACAAAACAACACAATAATTCATATTATTAATGATTATCCTAATCAAGTAAATTATTCATTAATTATTTTCAAATGACTACCTGTAAACACATTTAAAAGTATACATTAGATCTAATAAAATAAAAAAATCAGAAAAAAATACTCATCCGCTATTTTTTTTCTAATTTATATCAATTGACTTACCCATTTATCAAACATCTAAATTTTATAATTCAACCAAAATATTTTTTGTCTCTAATTAATATCAATTAATAATAAACTTACCCATTTATTTAACATTTACTGTAAAAACTTCAATAAAAAAATCTAACTTATTAACTTACCCATTTATTTCACATCTATCCTGGTTGTACTATCTACCGGGAGTGCAAGCCTTATTTGGCCCACCGTCATATAATACAAAAAAAATCTAATATAAAATAGTTATTTTCTGTAGGAGGTACCATTTTTTGATGAAAATAACAAATATCTAAAAGAAATTTTAACTATACATCAAAAAGATAGTTCTGTTAATAACCTCATATGAGTGGCAGCCATTTTTGTTTTTAAGTACTTAATACCAGGAATGACTTTTAAGCAATCAATAAAAAGTTAAAAACATATGTAAATGGTCCATTGCTGTTAATAATACTAAAGTACTATTCAATATTTATCAGTCATCACACAGTAAAAGGGTAATAATTTGATAAGCATTTGCACACACATTCAAAATATCATGATAGGTCCAAATTGTTAGCAATATTACTGGTTTTTATACGTAAAACACATTTATGTGAATAGGGTTATCAAAACTTTGAATTTTCTTCAAAAAATGCTTTATTTTGTATGAAATTAATGTGAAAAACACTTGCATACAAAAGAATTTTTTTATGTAAGTATTGTTTGTAATATCTGGACATTCCCGGTACAAAGTACCTCCCGGTATAAAGTACCTTGAGGATAAATACTTTTAATAATACTGTATTTTAAAAAATGAAAATGGGGAGGAACTGTCTACTTATTTGCAAATATGCAGACAGTTCTCCCCCAAAATAGGAAGAGAACCGTCAGGGAGGAAACGTCGGGGGAGGAACTGGTAAGGGAGAGAATAGTCTGACTACCGTTTGACATGTGAAGGCCGGACAAGATTTTTTATGAAAATAACTCATAGATCACATATTTGCATGATAAATGTCCATTTTTTACTACAAAATATAGCATGTTATTTACTGGTTTACTCATCAACTTTTCCAGCCTGATTTTCTGAAGCTCAGCAGCATTTCTTGCTACAACAATTGGTTTTTCTTCTTTTCCAGCATCTTTGTCGGCCATTTTGGTTGTGGTTTGACTAAAGTACATACGGTACAAGTACGTTACCGAAATCAATCCGGTATGATACGTTACCGAAATCAATCCGGTATGATTTAATACGGTGTCACCTAATTGTGAAGTCTAGAAAGTAGTTCTTTTAAATTTTAAAGAGGCCCACTTCAATTAATTTCTAATGAGACCGGTTATAATTTTCAGTATATTTTTTGTTACATGAAGTGTTATTTTTGAATACTTAAAGATTGTTGTTGTTTTTATTCTGTATGTATCTTGCAGAACTTGCATGAATTCACATCTCTTGGTAGAGGGAACAAGACACTACGATCACCACCAGACACGAAACTCCTAAAATTTTGAAGACACTTCACCCTACAAGACCCCCCCCCCCCCCAAAAAAAAAAAAAAAAAAACAGTGACACGTACACTTCACCCCTCAACCCTTATTATTTCTGGAGTTAATATTTCAATTACAAATACACCTTTCATTTGTTGATTTCTTTATTTCTAGTAATTTTTGATACAATATTTAACTCCGGGTAATTTTTAGTATATTTTTAACATTTAAACATACATGTAGCTCGCATGTTTATTGATTTTTTCCCCATTTGTATTTTGTATGTCGTCTTTAAATTGTCTTTCATGTCATATTTAAATGTTAATATTATAATACATTAAAAGTTTCATGTTGTGAGGTAACTTAATTGTCTTTCATGATTTACATGTATATGTGTGACTTTAAACTATCAAGGTACTATATGTCAATGAAAGGACAATGGAAGTGTGAAAGGGATTATTCACGCACTTTAAATAAATGATAAAGAGAAAGTCATTTTATGCAGAGAAATTTTCATTGCAATTTTTTAAAATTAGAATAAAATCGTAGGAAAAATATGAACATTAATGATCATATTATTAATTCGCTATTTCAAAAATATTTTTATGGTAGACTTTTAAGGAAATTAAAAACAACAATATTTCTATTTTAGTAAGTCTACATACATACTGGGACAAAAAATGTGTGCCTTCAATTTTTTTAAAGTTTTCTTTACCGTGCATGAAAAACTTAAAACAGGTACATGTATTTCTTACGCTACAAAGGAGTGTGTATATTTTTGGTCCTAGGTTTATAACATAATCAAATATAGTTAAACAGTGAATATTTTTAATCACCATTGAGTACATCGTACATTTGTACATGTATCTCACCTTCATGTATGTTAAACACTAAAATGATAAGGCGTGAAGTGGCTCAATCAAATTTCAAAAGAACAACTGAATTAAAAGAGGGCTGAAGAGTCTGAGGGGTGAAGTGTCTGCTACAGAATGGTATGCTTGATTTGCAGATGTTTAATCAGCAGCTTGTGCGGATAGGATGCGTAGCATACATGTACATGTATTATTAATCACTTGTAACTTATAACACGAGACAATCACAATATCACTCACTGACTAGAAAGTGTATATTTATATCGGTTGTATAGATCAATTAATAAATTTTCATTTAGGGTTTATTTTAAATAACGAAAGAAGAGGCTTAATTGTTTATTCAAAACTTCAAAACTTATTTTGCTGTAATATCTTGTATAATAATTTGTACTTTCGTTATAACATGCGCTTAAAAATAAGTACGAAACAAACCAGGCACAATTAACCTTGATATCAGGTACGGCAGTTGTTTAATTCTTGATTTTCTGTTAGAATCGAAAAAACAACACTGTTTGGAGAATTATATCACGAGGGCGTAGCATGAGTAATATAATATTATGCAATCACTGTAGATTTGGGGATATATTTATATTTCTAAGATTTAGTACAAATGCATGTAATAGCAAACATTGACAATTTGATATTATCTGATAATTTGATAAAAATATATATCACAACCATGCATTGAAAAATAACCAGCTTATAAATGATAAAACCGCATATCTGTTACAAAAGCCTAATGCAACTGATTTTCTTAAACAGAAAAAATGGTACCTTTTGGGTATCTTTAGCTCTATTGCATATATATTTTTTTAGACAACATTTCATTTTGATTGCTGATAAAATAATAAAACACTTTTAACAGAACTTATTACCAGAACTATCACTTATGCCATTTTTAATTTAGCAGCTACATGTATATACATGTATACGTGTAGCTTTACATATGAATTCAATATTTCTGTTAAAACATAAATGTATGTTTATACGTTGCTGATGATGATCTTTTTAATTACTTTTATGCTAACATTTATCATGTCGTTTTTTAACTAGAGATTATAAAGTCCCTCAATTAACGCTTAAGCTCATGAACACAAACTATATGTTGCAATTTTCTATAGGCGATCCCGGGATTTTCCCCCCACCCAAAAAACTGATCGTTTTTTATAGTAAATATAGAGAAAAAAAGCACGAACCTTAACAAAATTGAAATTTAATGATTACGATCATGTTGTTATGATGATTGGGCGAATCGATTTTAACTAAACTGGTCCGAATCGTGTGTTGAGGGAGGGGGCAGGGGGACAGGGGGTGGGGGCTGCGTATTATGAGCGTTGCCTTGCCTTAAAATTGTTTATCATTTTTTGTGCACTTTTTTACTTTTGACAACCCAACTTTCTGTTCTCTGAAATAAACAAAAATATATCATTTCAATATATACTTTAAATCTTATAAATAAATTTTTGAGAAATATTGATGAAGTAAAATGCGTATAAATTTCATTTTCAGTATTTTCACTGATGTCTTGCCCTAAATTCAGACAATACACGAAATTTTCGAGGAAGTTTTACATTGTATTTTTATCGAAAAATTGTTTATAATTAACAGAAAATACATTTTTTTCTATAATTACAGGATTAATTTCATCGAGTGGTATGATTACAAATATGTCATGATGAGTGGTGGTAGTCACAATTAAGTGAAATAAGATAATTTTCATACCACAAGATTAATATTTATAGAAAAAAGTTGAATATCCGTTATTTTTTTCAAGCACATACCAAACAACACATTTAATTTAATCATTTATCAATACTAATGATTTGAAAAACGTTATATATATTTTAACTATTAAGTGGGGCGAATGTCACTAATGTGGGGATACTCGTTCTGGACCGGATCATCCGTGGGACGAATCGTACTTTGTTCTCTAATTTTCTGGTTCCGATATTCATACTTGCCGTTTGTTGATCACCGAAAACCAATCCAATTTGTAAGAAGGGAGAGCACTCTTAGAATGTAAATATCACGCATTCAGCAGCTGATTCAAGTTTATGTCATTTCACAACGTAAGACATTTTCATGATTAATTTCATCATATATGTCTGGTAATATTGTGAAATCCTTGCTTCAGAAGTGTGTTCAGTATTGTAAAGAAGGTCTTGGCGGACATGTCATAAACAAGCGAAAAATGGCTCAGCCAAAATTTGTAAGGATTGGGGATTTTGAAGTTTTTGCTTGGTCAATATCTGGAATTGAGACGTCAGTTGTTGTTAAGAATCCTGCAGACGGTTTTGTTTGCTGTTTTGATATGGGCTGTTCAAGTCGAGAAAATGTCAAATGCAAATCAGTTATGATCAGGTAATATCAATAATTTTTTCAAATAAATTCATCTACCTTGGTGCATTTGATAATGATTTATTATTTCATACTAGCACGGATTCCCAGCAAACACCCGACGTTGACCCAACGTTGGATCAACGTTGAATTTTGGTCGCGACGTCGGTGACCTTCATACAACGTCAAAACGACGTTGAATCCCCGACGTCTAACAGACGTTTCATTTTGACGTCGACTCGACGTCGGGTTTTGGTCGGTAATCTGACAATAGGTGAATTTAATTTATGAAACCAATATATATATAAATGAAAGCATAAACAGCGAGAATTTTAAGTTTAAGTTTAGAAAGGGAACATTATATATTTATTTTCTCCATCAAAACAACAGTATCACGTGGGTGGCTAACGTACGATATTCGATAGGTGGCGCTCTGTAAACCGATAGTCGCGGATCAGTATGAAATATATTTGCTCTATTTTCGTTTAAATAATATCTTATCTCCTCGAATTAGTCTATGAAGTGTTTATATAATTTACAATGAAGCTGTTATCATTTTTGAGGGCTTCATTTTATAGTGGTAAATAATTTAGTAAATTCGAATTTGCGACTTATCGGATTTAAAATTCAATTGTATTGGCGGACAAAAAAACGACGGGTTGACAGACAAAGTTGTATATTCCAAACAAAAGAAAAAGGTAGGCAAACATTATATATTGTTTTTCAATGCTAATTTACCACATGTTTGCATGGATTCGATGGTTATTTGATCATTGAAATGTTTGACTGGTAAAACTTAATGTAACGTGATTTCGCGAGATAAATATTTTTGTTTCCACGTAAGAACACTTTATCATTTGCTATAGAACAGTCTGTATAATCGGATCATTTTTCCCACACTTTATCGCCATGCCAAATAAATGCACAATCAATGGTAGGAAATACCCTAGCAATTGAAATCAATAAAAAGTTAAATGCAGTACGTAAGACTCTTATTATTCAAATGCTGGTAAATAAAATGTCCTCTTATTTCTTATCAACATGAATTTCCCTTATATGAGGGGCCAGTCATTTACACATGTATCAGATGCAGTTTGATTTTGATATCTGTGTAGTTGTTAAACTACTCGTTGTTAATTGAAGTACTTTACCCATACTGTTAGCATACCATGTGTTTCTTATATTATGATAATGATTCATGGCATTTGATACATGTAAATGATACGACGTTGGTAAGATATATCTGAAAGCACATTGTATTTGACTAGCTATCTTTTTATTAATGTAATCAAACAACATATTATCAATCAGAAAACACATTATCATAGTTATAAATCAATAAAAGTAATAGTTTGTTAATTAGCCTGCTTATCAACAAGTTGTATGCTCGTATCATAAAACGTTTTTACACTAAGCCAGTCTGTCCTATATACACTTAGCAGACCAGAGCATGCTGGGCAGAGATAATATCTATAACAATGACAGTAACATGTGAATTTCTTTGATGTTGTATGAGCATTTGTACAAAGTACATTGAATATAAAAAATAACAATATCAATTTTTGCGGGAGTAGAATTAATTTTATTTTGGTATTTGTTATATCAGTTTTTCATGCGCTTATGAATTAACTAAGATTAATAGTAATTGGAATTTGCCTATTGTATTAGACAAACATCCTTCCACCACATGGTTAAATTCTAAAACGATTATATTTCGTCTTTCAGATTGTGAAAATTATGATAATTCAACATGTGTCAAAAGTTCAGGAGGAAGATGAAAATATTTAGAGGAAAAGAAAAATGAAAACCTACCAAGATTTTGTGACAGGTATATTTCAAAATATTATAGAAAATACAGTGATCTTATTACCCGTGATTTTATAATGAAATTCACGAAGCCATTTTTATCAAAATTAATAGATATATACAGTAGGTACACGAAAATACTTGGTTTAAACTAAATTAAAAATGATAAGTATCCTTTAAGTAGTTGGAGAGTTTTGTTAGAATTTCGTTTAATTATAATATGTATAAGTGATTTATTTCTTGCACTTGTAACTGATTATTTTATTTTTTTTAATTTCAGAAAGTGTGATGAAATTTCAGGTTGGAGACGGTAATACAGATCGACATAGTGTAGGAGGACGAAAGAAGCTAGAATACTAATGAAGATACATGAACATTGCTATTTATAGTTATAACAAAATATTCAGAATATTGTTCCATTTAACATTCAGATCTAGATTCAGTTATAAAATACAAAGACAAATATACAATCAGTGATGAAAAATCCCAAACTCAGAGTGATCAGTTCAGTGGTGATATAAGAAAAACACATGCATAGATGTTTGCTATATAAAATGTCAGTGTTAATATTCAAGAAGGATTTTGTTTATCTTATTTCTAAAACATGCTTAATTAATACATGAAGCGTTATTAAAGTACATACCGTCAAGTTTAATAGTTTCAAAAAATATTATGTAAATCTTGCATTTGTTATAGTACCACATTTCTTGTTTTGTACTTGTGATTCCGAGTATAAAATAAATTGCTAAAATCATAAGAATGCTTATTTATTAACCCTATTAAAGAGCTTCAAAATGAAAAAAATCATATTCCAAAAGTTTTGAATGAGGTTAAATCATGGTCAGAAAATTTGGTCAGATAAGGTTGGCATATGGTCAGATAATGGTCAGAAATGGTTGGATTATGGTCAGAAAAAGGTTGGATTATGTCCAAATAATGGTCAGAAAAGGTTGGATTATGGTCAGATAATAGTCAGAAAAGGTTGGATTATGGTCAGAAAAGGTTGGATAAAGGTCATTTTATGACGTTGTATAGACGTCGGTTTCTGACGTCTAAAAAACTTTCAAATCCAACCTTCTGCCAACGTTTACCCAACATCAGGGTCTAACGTCAGTACAAATTTGGTACAACGTCTTTTGTTTGCTGGGTTTATATAAATCCGTGATACTAGTGACCGACTCTATCTAATGCATTTAAACGATTTAAGTAATTAGTAATGATTTGAAAGAAATTGCATATTCGATTAAAGATTAATGAACAGATGAAAAATGCACATGCTAACACTAACTGAAACTATCATAAGAAATAGATCCGTTTAAACGCCACCACCTGACCACTGCCATGTAATTCACGAATATGAAAACCTAGCTAAACTCTGTTTTCCGGTACTTTCTGTACATAGCTCTGGGGAATTCACCTAATGGAGTGTAATAACGAACTCTATGTTTTTGGTCTTCTTTTAATTAAAGTTAAGTAAAACAGATATTTCTTTGTAACAAAATAATTAAATATCATTGTATGAATAATTCCATACTGTACTAAAAATAAAGTAAATACACAAGTTTACAAAGAAAATATCTCTATTAAGAGTATTTATTATGGCAGATTATACTACAAAGTACAACTGTTTTAAATTTATTGATTTTTATTATAAACAATTTATTGGGTCGGTCTATTTACCCCAAGACACCCAAAGACTACCCAAAGACACCCATAGACTACCCCAAGACTACCCTTAGATACACCAAGACACCCCAAGAACATCCAAAGACTCTTTTACAGACATGTTAATACAGTCTTAATTTTACATTGTTTACTGGAGGTAACTATGCAAATTCACATATACACATTGAATTATCTCAATTCATTTATTTCCCTGTAATTATAAATATATTCTCTTTGTGCAAAATAATCAATTTATTTCGCCTTAAATGGTAAAAAATGTTAGAAGAATAGAAATATCATGTAATTGTGTTATGTACTTCATTTGGTGTAATTCGGATTATTCCCCAGAGCTAAATCCTCAATGTACCGGAAAATGGTGTTTACTAACAGTTTAGCTAGGTGTTAAAAAAGGTCAATCCAACTAGGCAGCAAAAGTCACTATGTGCAAATATCCAGATTTTTTACTAATATTACTTGATTAATGAGTCATGTATTTTGTTTTTCTATTCTATTATAGTGTACAATAATTGCTGAATAATAATTAATAGATTAACACAAGTCTTCAAGAATGCCAAACAATTAAATAAGTGCCAATGGCATAAAAACTTTTGATCAACCTAAACACACACAGGGTGAGGGACCTCAATAAGATAGAGCCAATTATTCTTGCATTAACACTGTCATCTGAAGTCTTGCCTTTCCTTTAGACGGTCTAAACACTGACCCTCTAAGAAATCCATACCTCATTGTTGGAAATCTTCTTGTCACCTAATCTTAAAAGACGGGTCAAACACAGCTACGTGTAACTTATTAAAGTGGTATCATCATTATATCTGAAGTTTATTATATTTAGTATCAAAGTGATTGATTGAATAACCATAATGATTATAGATATGTATAAAATATGTTTGCAGTCATGGACATATGGATCACATATCATCTGTGCCTCAGCATATAAAAAAGCGGGAACTTTATGGTGCAAAACAAGCCTCCTACTATGTACCAAAATATCTTGTTGAGGAAGTAAAGGAACTTTGCACAACATATGCTAAAATATGTGAAAACTCAGAAGGTTTAAAATATCCATGCATTGTTGGGGTAGATCCAGGTGATGAAATTAAGGTTGGTTGCTTGTTATTCATCTTTTGTGATATAGTTTTGAACATCTAATGTCTAAGTAATGAAACATTATCATTCAAATGTACATGTAAAAGACAGTGAATGTGTCAATTTTTCTTATTTATCTACAAACAATTATAATGTTGCATATTTGGAACATCTATTTTAATTGAACAACAATTGTCACAATTATATATATATATATATATGAAAAATGAAAACAAGTGCCGGAAAAAAGTCACATATAAATTAAACAAAAAACACAGTCCATGTCATAGTTAACTTATTTAATTATTTGCCAACCGGTTTCTCTTATGATCATCATATATATATATAGATAAAATTATAATGTTTAAGAAATAACAAACTCTATGTAAATTCGGTAGCGCTTTCAATGCTTTCTTCACATATCTTCAGCCGAAACTTTAATATATATATATGAGAATTATCTCCATACAGTCAAAGTATATAGGTCACTTCACAGAATGAAGTGAGGTTTGTTAAATAGTTTTTCTTCTAGATTTTCTTTGTTTTGTTACCAGGAATATACAACAAAATACTTGCCCAACCAATAACTTGTGAATGCTTTGGCCTACAGTCCTAAGATTTATATGGAGGTTGGTCATAGTTAGTGAACACTAATGGTTTATGATCAGTCAGCAGAAAATTGCTGGATATTAACCATAGAACTGAATAGTGCAAAAATATTTGGCTATGTACATTGAAGCTACCTAGACAAAATATGTGGAAAAAACCCAACTTTCTTCACTGTTGAATTTGAGAAACACTGCAAACTCATAAATATAAAAAAATTTCCTTCAATGGCATATGTAAATAAAGTGAATATTAACTGATCATAATTATCAGTTTTACTATAGTAAATTTTGTACCTTGTACTTTGTAGCATGGAAATGATACAAAGCATGACAAACTAAGAAGGAAACAAAAACTCCATTGCCTACAATTTGATGGGAACTTTAAATGAGGCACTTGAGTTTAAATTTGGATTTTTATGTAAAAAAAATCTTGATTACTTTTTTTTTTTAAATCACGTTAATAATTTAAAAATTTATTTCAGCTTAATAAAGGTTACCATGCAAATATATTTCCCACAGTTCATAGGGTGAAAAGTCAGGGATACATTGTGTATAAAGCAAGAAAACAGTTAAAGCCAGAATATCAGGGCCTATCTTCCAGAGAAATTGGAGAAAAAATAAGAGATGGAGAAACTGTTCACACAAAACCTATTGTTACAC